AATGCAGACAATGTTGTTGTGGAAACTGTGCCTGCAGCGACAACCATGGTTTCATTGCCTAATGCGAGGCCAAAGCGACCATCCAAAGCACCAGGTTATCTCTCTGACTATCATTGTTCCCTTACTCAAATTTCTACTCCCAATTCTTCACCACCAGCAAAAATTTTCACAACTCCCTATCCTATTTCCTCTTACCTTTCTTATTCAAACATAAACCCTACCTACCAAGATTATATTCTTGCAGTTTCCTTAGAAACAGAACCAAAAACTTTTCACCAAGCTATAGCATCTGTTCAGTGGCAAAAGGCTATGAATGTGGAGTTGGATTCTATGGAATTGAATCGGATCTTTAATATTGTTTCTTTGCCACCTGGTAAGAATGTAGTAGGATGCAAGTGGGTTTATACTATTAAGTATAATGCTGATGGCACAATAGAAAGATATAAGGCTAGACTAGTTGCAAAAGGTTATACTCAACAAGAAGGGGTAGATTACTTTGAGACATTCTCTCCTGTTGCTAAACTGGCTAGTGTCAAGCTTATTCTAGATTGTGCAGCTAAGAAGAATTGGAGTCTCTCGCAAATGGACATCACTAGTGCTTTTCTGCACAGTGATCTTGACGAAGAGATTTACATGAGTTTACCTCTTGGATACACCTCAGCTGATGGCAATCTTCCTCCAAATCCGGTGTGCAGACTACATAAGTCAATATATGGACTTAAACAGGCGTCAAGACAGTGGTACAAGTGTTTATCTAAAGCACTACTGGATGATGGTTTTGTTCAATCTTATGCAGACAACACACTCTTCACAAAGCTGAGAGGTACTTCCTTCATTGCATTATTAGTATATGTAGATGATATACTAATAGTGAGCAACAATGATGCTGCTGTTCACTCTGTAAAGACAACACTTGGGAATGTTTTCAAAACAAAAGATTTGGGTACAGCAAAGTTTTTCCTTGGCTTAGAAATAGCAAGAAGTGCAGCTGGTATCTCAGTTTGTCAGAGAAAGTATTGCCTGGACTTGTTAGCTGATACAGGTCTGTTGGGATGTAAACTGAAACCTGTACCAATGGATCCAACAGAACCATTGAATAAGGAAACAGGCACCCTATTACCTGATCTAACTCCTTATCGGGAATTGGTTGGTAGGTTACAGTATCTCTGCATCACTAGGCCTGACATAACATTTGCAGTGAATAGGTTGAGTCAATTCCTGTCATGTGCTACTGATGTTCACTTGCATGCGGTTTATAACATTCTCAAGTATCTGAAGAACAGTCCGGGTCAAGGCTTATTCTTCTCTGCAACTTCAGATTTGAGTTTGAATGGGTTCGCAGATGCTGACTGG